ATATATATATATACACACACACAAAATTCTATTTTTTCCTTCCCCCTGAAGCTGTTTAACTATGAAGATAACTTGGAAGTACTCTAACATGAACAGTCACCACAAGCAGTGTGTTTTTTCACTGCAAAGTCAGTAACAGGCACCAGTCTTACTTATCTAAGGGAAGAAAAACTCTTCCTGGTTTGGTGGCTCTGTTTCTAGCAGAGGCAGAGAGAAAGGGAGGAAATGCTGCACTTACTTGTTAAAAAGGTTCAGTCCGATCCTGTAATGGCGCTTCCTGATCACGTCGTTGCTGAAGGCAGGGGAGTCCCAGCTGTTGCGAGTTTCTTTGTGGTACGTTTGTTTGCTCAAGGTTTGCTCCCTCAGGCTATCTCTGGAAGAGGACTCTGAGCTGCAGTTTATTGTGTCATTAGAGTTGGAAGTGCTGTTGATGCTGTCGTTGTCTCCATCGGAATAATCAGACTCTGACTTGCTTTGCCTGTTTGCTGTGCCATTGATAGCTAAATGACTCTCTATGGGCCTGGCCCTATGCCTTGCCTCCTGCTCCTCTCGGGATATCATCTTGGCAGGAATACTGTGAGGGATGTGTTTTGGGCTCCCTTGCTGACTAGTGACCCCTCGGTCATATGCATTTTGTCTCTTTAATGAGCCCCTCTCCGAGCGGTCGCTCAAGTCCACTGAACTGTCACTGGGTGGCTCTATAGTTAGCAACGGTAGATGATCCATCCTCATCCTCTGGTCCTGACATTCCAGTGACGGGGTACTCCTGCAGCTCGTGTCAGTGTCTATCTTATCATCTTTGTGGGTCATGGACCAGTACTCTTGAGAAGAGTTCACAGTCCGGAGCCTCAAATCAGACTCTGTGCTGGACGGTCTGTCTACGGACTGGGAGAGTGGGAGCGGAGGAGATAACTCTTCCTCATCAATATATAATGTAACATCACTGTACGACGCTGTCATCTCATCCAGCTTCCTGTGATCCACGTTGTGAATTGCTGGTTTGGTTTGAGCACAACTATCCCTTTCCATTTCACGACTTCTGACTTGATCCGGAGTCTGGACTTCATCGGAGTGCAGACTACGGCAGTTCAGCGCATCGTCAATGGACTCTGCAAGGGACTTCACTTGCCTGGAAAAGGCGTCCTCCAGTTCCGTTATGGCATCGGCAAAATCAGTAGAAGCTGCTGGAGACTTCATTGTAGCTGACTCTCCAAGGTCACCACATTCAGATGGTACCATGGATCCCAGCTTTGACCCGTCATTTGTAACAGAAACCTGTTTTCCTTCAAAGTAAGAGCTGTGGACTTTCTCAGGTCCTTCAAAGGAAAACTGCATTCTCATATTGGACAGTACAATGCGTCTGGACATACGATTTTCAGACATAGAACTTCTAAGACGTTCAAAGTTTTTGTTCATCTGATACTGGCGGAAAGCTGTCTGTATGGTGCGAGCAGCATGTCTGGTTATGAGACGGCCCCCGTACTTCCGTTCTAGCATCTCCACCTGTAAAGGGTGAACACAATTCCTTTGTGACTCAACGCATGTCAGAACAACGTTAAAACAGAACAACAAAAATGTTTCTTCTAGCAACTTCAATTTTCAGACATTTCGCAAAGCGGATACTGTTTCTGAAAGTCAAACCTGAAAGCTCCAGACCAACAACTGCACAAGGAGCAAACCTGATTTCATTTGCAAATTCCACAATAAAAATACAGACAAAAAAATGACCATGTGAATGGTGTCATATAAAATTAAGGCGCCAGCAGTTTGTGTGGGTGTTGGGATCTTGGGTTTCACCCAGCAGCTGCGGTGTGCCTGTGCCACAGCAGACAAGACAGCACTCTCACACAGCATAGCACAGTCGTTCTCTCTCTGCAGAGAAGTGAATCCAAGTATCGTGCAAATTGCTGTATTTTGGGAGCCAACTCTAGAAGTGTCTGTCACCGTTCCAGGCACGCACCTCTTTCTACGTGAATAAAAACCAGGTAGCACTGTTTCACCCAGGCCTGATATCAATACAGAACTGAGTCTTCCCAGACCACACGCTTGCAGGGAGGCTCCTCGGACAGAATATCCAAATACGGGGTCTTCCTTAAACCACAAACATTTTTCAGACTTTCTAAATACAAATTCAGATCTAGTTTCATTCTTGTCATTACACTCAACATTGCCAGTGTTTCCAATTGAAAGCATGAATATGCCAAATAAATACATTATCAATGCTTTCAATTTAACCTAGTGAAAATGACCTGTCAGTATTTTTGGAATACTCATAAGATATTTTCAAGCCTTTCCTTCCAAAACACGAAAAGCATTTTTTTTAAAAATCTTGAAACAAGATGAGTAACTGGTTTTATTTAATCTTTTTTCCCTCCAATATTTAATTTCTGTTCTGACTAGTCTTTGCTGGATGCACATTATTCACAAACACAAAACGTCTGTGCAAATCGGTATGTTCAGAACCACAATTAAACCCACCATTTTTCCAGCAGCATTTTTGTTTAAATCCAAGCAATTTCCATAATATTCCAAGGACTCAAAAGTCTTTTCTTCCCGCTTGCAAATCCCAGCACCCTTTTTCATTATGCATCACGTTTTAATTACTTATGTTACATGCACGAGCACACACAACCTCTCTCCCTCACGCTTTGGAGTTCTCTCCAAGTCACTGTTAAGTTCAGATGTTGATGTGCAGAGGGGCTTCATCCCACATCTATGGAAGGAACTAAATGCTACTAGAAAATATAAATTTTTCTAGTCCATTATGTCTCCCATTTGGGAGCAGTTGATGTACTTTTCAGTGCTACT